TGTGTGTGTGTATAGGTGGGTGGGTGCTTGGCGGGTGCTCTGGTGTAGTTTGCTCCTTCTTTCCTATCAAACATCTACCATCCTTATCTCCCCTTCTTCTTTTTTATGTTTCTTACTCTCTTGTAACACCTCTAATTTTCTGGCGCTCATATGACCGTATGCAGTTGCGAGCGCCGTAAAACCTCTACTGAAACTAAAACTTTTTTGTGTTTTTGAATAAGGAGCATGGGGTTTCTTGAGCATAGCCCCAGATCACTTCTTGTTGTCATTGTTGCTGGTTTTGTTGTTGGCTTTGTTGTTGTTGTTGCTGCAGCTGTGGCTGTTGCTGTTGCTGTTGTTGTTGTTGCTGTTGTTGCAGTTATTGTCGTTGCAATGCCACTATTGTTGAAACAGTGGTCATGGTGGTAGTGACCATGGTGACAATAAGTGTTTGGTGAAGGTATTTATTGATATCTATCCTCAACTCATGATACTGTATCTTCTTTCTCCCACAGCTGAGTATCTGGGACTTCTGCGGCCACCCGTTCTACATGTACCCCCACTACGTATTCTTTACCCCATAGTTCAGTATCTGGGATTTCTTTCGACATCTATCCTCAATACATGATGCTGTGTCTTCTTTATTTCACACCTCAGTATCTGGGATTTAAAAAAATATATGCACCCCCATAACATGACACTATATCTTCTTTCTCCCACAGCTCAGTATTTGAGATTTCTTTTGATATCAAAATCAATATCTGATACTGTATCTTCTTTCTCCCACAGCTGAGTATCTGGGACTTCTGCGGCCACCCGTTCTACATGTACCCTCACTATGTGTTCTTCGAGCAGCCGACCATCACCATTCTCACATTCAACATGGCGGAGTACAGAGACGAGCGCTTCGAGGAGCAGATAGGCTGCTGGTTCGACTGGATGATCGCCAAGACCAACAAGATAGTGGTCATCCTGGTGGGGACACAGAGCGACAAACTGGACAAGGCCCAGATACAGAGAGTGGCTAAGAGCGTCCGGATCAAGCTGACAGAACACATCGATAAACAGACAGAAATGACCAAACGTCGAATCAGGTGAAGATACATTTACTACTTCGTTAGCTTTGCACGTGCCTGCACAATTTAGTAATATCATGTGTGTGTATGTGTGTGTGTGTGTGTGTGTGTGTGTGTGTGTGTGTGTGTGTGTG